GGTTTATCTCCGCGAGGTGCCTACGTACTCCTCGGGAGTATACCTGCATATCTCCGCGAGGATCCATCCGCGAAACTTGACTCACCGCCTCCGGTAAAGTGGGCCATTCCGCGTTCGCAATTTTCTCGGAAGCGCGCGGGGGTTGAGAGGCGCGCTTAAGAGTCGCGTGTGCGAACTCGCGACTCGGGAGTTCCCCGATAATCGCGAGGTACCTACGTACGTACGTAGATAGGTACGTACGGCGCCGCGCCGCCCGATCCGATTCTCCTGCGCTACCTTGACATGCATTCTCTCGGACTGGCAGTCAGGGCCGGGGCCGCCCGGGACGAGCCCGGCCCTCGCGATTCCTCGCGATTCCTCGCGATCACGTCCGCCGTTGTACCCGTGTGCTTTCACCGACTAATCCCGTTCGCACCGCGATTACGCAATCGTGGAATATTCTGGAAGATTCAATTTTGTTCTCGTAAAGATGAGATGTAATTAGATACATTACTTCAAATACGAAGCGCCATTATGGTCTGAATGGTTAAGATGTTGAACAAATATATATAATCAGGCTCGAAAGAATGTATCGGTGAAAATTGTAAAGAAAAAGCCCATCAGAGCCCTACATCTATTCGGAGGTGCAAAAAAATCTTTATTTTTCGTGCGAATGTAACGAAACGAATAAGATATACGTTTCAACCCTTCAATTCGTCCTTATCGATGTAAAATATAAATCGAAATTATATAATTAACGGAAATTTCAAGTTGATGATTCCCGACAAATTAATTCGTTCTTCTTCATTTTTCACTCAAGATATCGAACTATTATATATATATTCATTTAAATGTTTGAATGTCTGAATTAATTTCAGAAATGATAATTGCGTGCCGATATGATTGTGAGATTTTCAACGCAATCAATCTGAAATATTAATAATCGCCTCAAATTTCCCAAATTTAATCTTAAAAAACTGTAATAAACTTATTGCGAAAAATATTGCCTCGGCCGGGAGTCGAACCCAGATTTCTTGCATCGAGATGTAATTAGCTCGATCTAATTATTCAAGTTTTAGTATTTCGATTAGATTAGAAATGTTTCTTATAACGACAATAGTATGAATTAAACTTTCAAGTATGCGATATATTAGCGATTTTTGGAAAACGTGTTTAGGCGATTTCGAGACGCTAAGACGTGAAGACACTTAATTAAATCGCAATGAATTGTGCGACTTACTAGGCTATACGTCTCATTATGCTTCTATTTTTAAGAAATTACTTAATTAGGTGATTAAACTGTTAAGTAAATCATTAGCGTTAAACTTCTACAATTAGGATTAGTTCTGAACTTGCTGAATGGCATAAGAAATTTGTATACACATAGATTATCGGAAATTTCAGCGGTCTTGGTTCAGAGATCGCGTTAACCCTCTGGCGATGATTTTCTTGCATCGATTTAATCGGAACTTATTGGATCTTCCGGCTCCTTTCGCCGCTTCTCTACCGAGAAATGGATTTCTCTCTTGGCGTAAAAAAAGAAAAGAAAATCCACGGAAGGGTATAGAGACGCGAAGATGCAAAAGTGAAAGTGGCAATGTTATTAGTAATTTCTGTAACAGAATCGTGACCTACTTGTACCGCAATCTTGAGATTCCCATTTTTTTTGCGTTACCATCGAATGAGTCAACGAAACAATGAGGGGGGAGGGGATAGTCTTATTAGTCATCTTTTCCTAATATACGCATATGTGTAACCGCAAGGTTACTTTCTTAAGAACATCATACAGAAATTATCATTTTTTATTTTTTATTTTTGTGCTGAGAAAAAAAGTGCTTGCGATTGCTATATAATTTAATTATGATGAATTATAAATATATGTCTATAATTTAATTATTAATTATAGTCATTTTTAGTGTCACTATAAATATTTTTGGTATAACTATAAATATAATTATTATTACTATTATTATAAGCCGTAATAATTATAAAAATGTGGAGCACCTAATAATAATTATTTTACCAACTACAGTCATGGATGTAAAACATTTTCTCTCAATGCGATAGTTAGCGATGAAAGAATTTGAAAATAAATACAGAGGATAAGTACAGAGGATATCGATATACATTTCGATTCCGATTGTCCGTGAACTTTGTGACCCACTTAACTGCTTCGTAATAAAGAGATAGATAAAAAAAGGAGATAAGATAAGCGAAAGACGTATAATAGTACAAAGATACGTATATATACAAGAGATATGTGTAAAACGTAAAAGAGCGTAAAACAGCTCCCTAGATGATTAATATTAGGTATTACACAATTATTTTGTACTATTATTAATGCCCTCTTTAATTATTAAAAATAAATAATATATTCTCTAGACGATCAATAATATTGCAATATTAAATATTGTGTAGTACTATTAGTTGTCTAAAGGTGCCATTTGAAAGAACGTTACGCAGATGATTGTCGTTTATGTTAGTTAGTGGCTGAAAATCAGGGTAAGAGATCGCGATTAGTCGACCGATTAAGTCGATGGCTACTCTGCGGTAGAAAGAAAGCTGCAGTTCTGGGACACTGTGAACGGATACATGCTTAGCAGAATTACTCCGACTTATGAGATGAAACTTCACGTGCAGCTTCAATGCTGAAGTCCCGTGTAACCGGCTTAAAGACCGGCTGACTGAGAGGATAAAGATTCGCGTTCTGGGTGGTCCACAGAATCTGGTGCGAATCCCAGCTGTCTCTTCGGAATTTTCCCACATGAAACATGCGTCACGCGCACCATATGACGTATAAACGCGTACTTCGCAGACTTTATCTTACTTAAACGCAAAGACATTTAGCCGAATCGGAATCAGTTCTATGTACACCTCGCTCGTACGCGCCACGGTATTTTCTCTTATTCATTCATCTCGTCCGTTATTCACAGTTCCTTTCTGATTAGCAGCTGTTTTTCCCAGGAATTAAAACCGAAACGGGTATATTTCCGCTGTATAATGGATATATTTCCGATCAGGAATAAATCGAAACGGCAAGACAGAAATAAATAACGTAATGAAATTATTATTGTACATTATTTACCGGACAATATTGCTACTCGTCTTCCTTCTTATCGCTCGCCACGTTCGCCGCAACAGTTACATACTGTTGTTCCGTGAATTATGTAACGTCGAAACATAATCGCAACTCCGCTGTCGTGGAATACATGAATGTCTAAAGCCGCACTTGAAATCCCCCCCCGCTCGTCGCTTATGTCGTACAGTTAACGCTACGTGCATACTTGATGTAATTTTTATACGGCTTGTTCCTCCTTCCATTTTGAGGTGCATTGGAGCGCGCGTTCGCTGCTTTAATTACGGACGACATATGTCTTTTGATACGCGAAATCGCGATAAACACGCTACGGGGCGAAGCGTGGCGCGATGGCGCGGCAAATCGCTCGCGCGATACGTATGCACGTTCCACGGCCGTTCTTCGCACCTGCCGGCCTGCCGATATATTAGCAGCGTATTTTGCAGGTGCTTGTACCTTTTTCGCGTGTCACGCGTCGAATAAGCGGCATTCCATTCCGAGGCGCCGTCGTACCCTGGTCGTCCCGGCGGTCGTCCACGCGACGCTTCGGCCACATCGAATATATATATATATATATAAAAAAAGGGTGTCCCAAAATTAACGCAAGATTTGAATTAAATAGAAAACACAGTTTTTAGTCTTTTGATTATTTTTTTTTTATTGAATCATAAAGTACATAGGATAGGGTTATTTGTGGAATAACACATCGGGCAAATGGCCTCCACGGCTTTGCATGCACATACGCACTCGTTTGTCGAAATTTTCCATGACCATTTTGCATAAATGTGGCTGAATTTCGTTGATGCAGCGTTGAATCTCCTCCTTTAATGCACGGGTGGTTGTG